TCCAATAAAATGAAACTGTAGGAAAATGAAAATACCAATTAATGATATATTGTACATAACTTGTTTTGAAATTATTAAAACACAAGTGAAAAAAGAAGGCATTAAGGTGGAGGATTACAGAAAAACAGCTCATGCTCATTCCCATATCATTAGAATGATGACAAAAGACTAACAAAACAGCACATTTTGTTATAAATGTGTGCCTTGTTCTTTTAAGTATTATATTATATTATTATAATGATTTTCTTCTAAAAAACAGATTTGAAATATTGTAAGGTGATTTAATTCTATTTTGTTTCCATGCACTGATTTCTTTGACTTCAAACAATTATTATTTGTTTTGTTATTTTTTTAAAAATTTGTTTCTTTTATTATGTTTTGGGCACGTGTGTATTGTTAGGTCTGGTTTCACAATCCAACATTTCGCTCAGCCATGTACAAATATGTTTCTCCTGAAACTCTTGGGAATGATTTAAAACAAGAAAGCATCCAGGGTAGGTATTGTCTTATCAATATTCTATAAATCTTACATGTAAAAGGTTAACAAGGGTTCTTGATTATTTCGAATTGTACAAAACTTGAAGTAAAATTAATGTTCATACAAATTCTAGCATTCAATTATATTGAAACAAACTTTAATGTTATTGCTAAGTGTTTGGGTTTGAGGGAGGGCTGTTAGTAAGTCCAGGGGGAACTCCCATATGATAGGGGTGGGGATGCTCATCGTCTGGCTTAGGGGAGTAACCTTCAGATTTTTGTCTCACTCAGGGTGTTCTGGGCAAATTGCCATTATATCTAACCGTAAAGGTCTCTTTTAGGGTTGCACAGGAAGTAATATAAAAACCTTAACCCTTTAAGCCCTAAGAGTGATCAGCATCAAATTTCTCCTTGTAATATCAATGCTTTGTAAAACAGAGTGGTCATGAGAATTAGGGACATGATCACACAAGATGAATTTGCTTGATATTTTATCAACTTCTTCCCACTACCTCTGTAGGAAATGAATGGGGGAAACAAATGAGAATTCCAATTTTGATCTTAGGGTTTAAATGGTTAATAAGTTGGGCCACGCCCAGATTGGTCTCCTTTATTGGTTTAATTAAAAAATTTTAGGCGAGCATTCCCACCCCTTTGATATGGGAGTCCCCCCTCTGGGGGATATATCCTGGAGCTTCTAAAGGGATGTCACTAATCGCCAGCTTCCGGCTAATCTCATTGGCTCAAAAAGACCTTACCACCACCTCAAATTGCTCCGGAGATTGAAGACATTGGAAAATTTTAAAAGTGCACTAGAAAAGCCTGCTTAGCTTTTCCTTAGCTACATCCCTGCAGAGTAAGGGAAAAATTTTCCTGTCTACTTGTCCTTCGTACAAGCACTCTATTAAATTTGGTTGTCCGAAACCCAAGAGTTCTTGTCCAAAAAGTTTAGCTCGAAACTCAAAAACCATCGGGCATTTAATGTTTTTAATCACATTATTACCCTTGTAAATTGATATCATTGTTTTTGACTTAAACCTTAAATGGAGCTCGTAAAAACAAATGAAATGACCGTGGAATGGCAAAGTTGTAAAAGGAATATTTAACCTTATTTTGTTAAATGTGAGGTTTGCTTTTATGACTTTTAAGGTGAATTTTAATTCTCTGCCTACCAAGTCAATAAATAATACATGTCAAATACAAGTCTTGGTGACAGCTGGCCCTGTGGAGAGGTACAGTACTTTGAATAAGGCCCTTATACATGTAGACTTTAAATGTAGGGCTTAATTTGAGATGAGAGATAAGACTATTCTTTCAACTTTAGATCCACAGCCCACAGGCACTTCAGATTTCTCCACACTGACCAACCACTCAAGTGAAAATGGAGAAACCTCAGATGACACCTCTTGTTCTACTAAAGCTTTTAAACACTCAGCAGCTGTAAAAAAGGTTCCACTGCTTCCTTCTACCACTATACTCAACTCAAATGAGGCACCAACTACTGTTTGTGGACACCTTCAGCTGTTGTTTGCACAGTTGCAGTACAGTTTTCGAAGGTATGTTATTGTATAAGTAAAAACCCAACAAACTTCCTAGCTCTTAAATTCCCCGTGTACTATTTGCATATATCGAGACCTGTAAATATCAGCCAGTCATCAGACATTGGCCCGACAAAATTTCCTAGTGTCCGGCGAAATCTCAGCTGTGTTTATCACAAATTATTTTACGGTTTGGAAGAATAAAAATCTACCTAAATACAGTATATAATGTATATCAAGTTCAACATTTTTTTCTTGATGTCCAACAAAAATTTTGTTCAGTCCACCCAAGACCGTGTCTTAGAAGAAGGACATTTGTTCTTGCAAACGAAAAAAATTATTTGCAGTCCTGGTAACAGTACCTAACAGTATAAATTTTCCGTGCAGTTGTGGCAGCCTTGCATATGTCACCATAGCTGCCGTTGTTGCTGTTATCACTGTTGTCACTATTGATGCCATTGTCACTATTGTCACCTTTTTTACCGTTGTCACTGTGTCACTGTGCCTGCTGTTGTCGCCGTTGTCACCGTTGTCATCGTTGTAGCTGTTGTCACCGTTGTCACTGTTGTAATCGTTGTCACCGTTGTCACTGTTGTCACCGTTGTCACCGTTGTAATCCTTGTCACTGTTGTCTCTGTTGTCACCGTTGTCACCGTCGTCATCGTTGTCACTGTTGTCACCGTTGTCATTGTTGTCACTGTTGTCACTGTTGTCACCGTTGTCACTGTTGTCACCGTTGTCACCGTTGTCACCGTTGTCACTGTTGTCACCGTTGTCACCGTTGTAATCCTTGTCACTGTTGTCTCTGTTGTCACCGTTGTCATCATTGTCACCGTTGTCACCGTTGTCAATGTTGTCACTGTTGTCACTGTTGTCACCGTTGTCATCGTTGTCACTGTTGTCACTGTTGTCCCGTTGTTGTCACTGTTGTCACTGTTGTCACCGCTGTCACTGTTCTCAGGGTTGTCACCGTTGTCACCGTCCTCACCGTTGTCATCGTTGTCACTGTTGTCACCGTTATCACTGTTGTCACCGTCGTCACTGTTGTCATCGTTGTCACTGTTGTCACCGTTGTCAATGTTGTCACTGTTGTCACCGTTGTCACCGTTGTCACCGTTGTCACCGTTGTCACCATTGTCACCGTTCTCACCGTTGTCATCGTTGTCACCGTTGTCACCGTTGTCAGTGTTGTCACTGTTGTCACCGTTGTCACCGTTGTCATCGTTGTCATTGTTGTTCTCGTTGTCAGCGTTGTCACCGTTTTCAATTTTGTAACTGTTGTCACCATTGTCATCATTGTCACTGTTGTCACCATTGTCACCGTTGTCACTGTTGTCATCGTTGTCACTGTTGTCACTGTTGTCAGCGTGTTCACCGTTTTCATTTCGTTGTTATCGTTGTCACTGTTGGCGCCGTTTTCACTGTTGTCACCGTTGTCACCGTTGGCACCACTGTCACCATTGTCACCGTTGTCATTTTTGTCACTGTTGTCCTTGTTGTCACTGTTGTCATCGTTGCCATCGTTCACTGTTTTCACTCTTGTCACCGGTGACAACAGTGACAACGGTGACAACAGTGACAACGATGACAACGGCGACAACAGTGACAACGGTGATAAGAGTGACAACGGTGAAAACAGTGACCACGACGACAACGGTGACAACGGTGAGAAGGCTGAAAATAGTGACAACAGTGACAACGGTGACAACAGTGAGAACGATGACAACGGTGACAATGGTTACAGTGGTGACCACGGTGACAACAGTGAAAACGGTGACAACAGTGACAACAGTGAGAACGGCGACAACAGTGAGAACAACAACGGTGACAACGGTGACAACAGTGACAACGATGACTACGAAGACAACAGTGACAATAGTGACAATGATGACAAGGAAGACAACGGGACAACAGTGACAACAATGAAAACGGTGAAAACGCTGACAACAAAGGCAACAGTGACAACGATGACAACCGTGACAACAGTGACCGCGATGACAACCGTTGTCACCGTTGTCACCTTTGTCACTGTTGTCACTGTTGTCACTGTTGTCACCTTTGTCACCATTGTCATGGTGTCACTGTTGTCACCATTGTAATTGTTGTCACCGTTGTCACTGTTGTTACTGTTGCCACCGTTGTATCCCTTGTCATCGTTGTCACTGTTTTCATTGTTCCCACCGTTGTCACCGTTCTCACTGTAGTCACTATTGTCACCGTTGAAATTGTTGTCACCGTTGTCACTGTTGTCACTGTTGTCGTCGTTGTCACAGTTGTCACCGTTTTCATCGTTGTCACTGTTCACTGTTGTCACCGTTGTCACAGTTTTCACAGTTGTCACCGTTGTCACTGTTGTCACCGTTGTCATCGTTGTCACCTTTGTCACTGTTGTCATTGTTGTCATCATTGTCACTGTTGTCACCGTTGTCACGGTTGTCACCGTTGTCACGGTTGTCTCCGTTGTCACGGTTCTCACGGATGTCGCGGTTTTCACGGATGTCACGTTTGTCACTGTTGTCATCGTTGTCACTGTTGTCACTGGTGTCACTGGTGTCACTGTTGTCAACTTTGTCACTGTTGTCACCGTTGTCACGGTTGTCATCGTTATCATCGTTGTCACCGTTGTCACTGTTGTCACTGTTGTTGTCGTTGTCACAGTTGTCACCGTTGTCATTGTTGTCACCGTTGTCATCGTTGTCACTGTTGTCACCGTTGTCATCGTTGTCATCGTTGTCATCGTCGTCACTGTTGTCATTTTTGTCACTGTTGTCACAGTTGTCACAGTTGTCACGGTTGTCATCCTTGTCACCGTTGTCGTCGTTGTCCTCGTTGTCACCGTTGTTATCGTTGTCACTGTTGTCACTGTTGTCACAGTTGTCAAGCTTGTCATGGTTGTCACCGTTGTCACTGTTGTCACCGTTGTCAGCGTTGTCACCGTTGTCACTGTTGTCACTGTTGTCACGGTTGTCACCGTTGTCACCGTTGTCGTCGTTTTCATCCTTGTCATCGTTGTTACCGTTGCCATCGTTGTCACTGTTGTCATCGTTGTCACCGTTGTCATTCCTGTCATCGATGTCACTTTTGTCCCCGTTGCCATCATTGTCGCTGTTGTCACTGTTGTAATGGTTGTCACTGTTGTCATGGTTGTCGCTGTTGTCTCTGTTGTCACCGGTAACTAGGCACCGTTGGCACTGTTGTCACCGTTGTCACTGTTGTCGTGTTGTCACCGTTGTCACCGTTGTCGGCGTTGTCACTGTTGTCACTGTTGTCACCGTTGTCACAGTTGTCATGGTTGTCACCGTTGTCATCACTGACACTGTTGTCACTGTTGTCACCGTTGTCACCGTTGTCACCGTTGTCACTGTTGTCATCGTTGTCATTGCTGTCACCTTTGCCACCGTTGTTATTGTTGTCACTGTTTTCACCTTTGTCACCGTTGTCATTGTTGTCACTGTTGTCACCGTTGCCATCGTTGTCACCGTTGTCATCTTTGTCATCGTTGCCAGCGTTTTCACCGTTTTCATCTTTGTCACTGTTGTCACAGTTATCAGGTTTGTCACCGTTGTCACCGTTGTCATTATTGTCACTGTTGTCACCTTTATCACCATTGTCATGGTGACACTGTTGTCACCGTTGTCATAGTTGTCTCTGTTGTCACCGTTGTCATTGTTGTCACTGTTGTCACTGTTGTCACCATTGTAATTGTTGTCACCGTTGTCACTGTTGTTACTGTTGCCACCGTTGTATCCGTTGTCATCGTTGTCACTGTTTTCATTGTTGCCACCGTTGTCACCGTTCTCACTGTTGTCACTATTGTCACCGTTGAAATTGTTGTCACCGTTATCACTGTTGTCACTGTTGTCGTCGTTGTCACAGTTGTCACCGTTGTCACCGTTTTCACCGTTGTCATCGTTGTCACTGTTCACTGTTGTCACCATTGTCACAGTTATCACAGTTTTCACAGTTGTCACCGTTGTCACTGTTGTCACCGTTGTCATCGTTGTCACCTTTGTCACTGTTGTCATTGTTCTCATCATTGTCACTGATGTCATCGTTGTCACAGTTGTCACCGTTGTCAGGGTTGTCTCCGTTGTCACGGTTCTCACGGATATCGCAGTTTTCACGGATGTCACGTTTCTCACTGTTGTCATGGTTGTCACTGTCGTCACCGGTGTCACTGTTGTCACCTTTGTCACTGTTGTCACCGTTGTCACGGTTGTCATCGTTATCATCGTTGTCACTGTTGTCACTGTTGTCACTGTTGTCACTGTTGTTGTCGTTGTCACAGTTGTCACCGTTGTCATTGTTGTCACCGTTGTCATCGTTGTCACTGTTGTCACCGTTGTCATCGTTGTCATCGTCGTCACTGTTGTCATTGTTGTCACCGTTGTCACAGTTGTCAAAGTTGTCACGGTTGTCATCCTTGTCACCGTTGTCGTCGTTGTCCTCGTTGTCACCGTTGTCACCGTTGTTATCGTTGTCACTGTTGTCACTGTTGTCACAGTTGTTCAGCTTGTCATGGTTGTCACCGTTGTCACTGTTGTCACCGTTGTCAGCGTTGTCACCGTTGTCACTGTTGTCACGGTTGTCACCGTTGTCCCCGTTGTTACCGTTACCATCGTTGTCACTGTTGTCATCGTTGTCACCGTTGTCATTCCTGTCATCGATGTCACTTTTGTACCCGTTGCCATCATTGTCGCTGTTGTCACTGTTGTAATGGTTGTCACTGTTGTCATGGTTGTCGCTGTTGTCTCTGTTGTCACCGGTAACTAGGCACCGTTGGCTCTGTTGTCACCGTTGTCACTGTTGTCGTGTTGTCACCGTTGTCGGCGTTGTTACTGTTGTCACCGTTGTCACCGTTGTCATCGTTGTCACTGTTGTCACCGTTGTCGCCGTTGTCACCGATGTCATTGATGTCAGTGTTGTCACCGGTGTCAGCGTTGTCATCGTTGTCTCTGTTGTCACCGTTGTCACTTTTGCCACTGTTGTCACCGTTGTCATCGTTGTCACTGTTGTCACCGTTGTCAACGTTGTCACAGTTGTCACGGTTGTCACTGTTGTCACCGTTGTCACTGATGTCACTATTGTCACCGTTGTCACAGTCGTCACTGTTATCACTGTTGTCACGTTGTGATCGTTGTCGTCTTTGTCATCGTTGTCACCGTTGTTATCGTTGTCACTGTTGTCACAGTTGTCAAGGTTGTCATGGTTGTCAGCGTTGTCACTGTTGTCAACGTCGTCATCGTTGTCATCGTTTTCACCGTTGTCACTGTTGTCACCGTTGTCACAGTTGTCACGATTGTCACCATTGTCACCGTTGTCATCGTTGTCACCGTTGTCATCGTTGTCACTGATGTCACCGTTGTCACAGTTGTCACTGTCATTACTGTTGTCACGGTTGTCATCGTTGTCACCTTTGTCGTCTTTGTCATCGTTGTCACCGTTGTTATCGTTGTCACTGTTGTCACTCCTTTCACCGTTGTCACAGTTGTCACAGTTGTCACGGTTGTCACCATTGTCACCGTCGTCACCGTTGTCACTGTTGTCACCGTTGTCAGCATTGTCAACGTTGTCATCGTTGTCACTGTTGTCAGCGTGGTCACCGTGTTCATTGATGTCACTGTTCTCACTGTTGTCACCGTTGTCATCGTTGTCACTGTTGTCACTGTCGTCACCGTTTCCACCTTTTTCATTGTTCTCACCGTTGTCACCGTTCCCATCGTTGTCATCGTTGTCACCGTTTTTACCGTTGTCATCTTTGTCACTGTTGTCTCCATTGTCACCGTTGTCACTGTTGTCACCGTTGTCAACGTTGTCACTGTTTTCACCATTCTCATCTATGTCACTCTTGCAACTGTTGTTATCGTTGTCACTGTTGGCACTGTTGTCACCATTGTCATCGTTGTCACAGTTGTCACCGTTGTCATTGTTGTCACTGTTGTCACGGTTGTCACGGTTGTCTCGGTTGTCACGGTTGTTACGTTTGTTACCGTTTTCATCGTTGTCACTGTTGTCACCGGTGTCACGGTTGTCACTGTTGTCACTGTTGTCACCGTTGTCACTGTTGTCACCGTTGTCACCGTTGTCACCGTTGTCACTGTTGTCACTGTTGTCACGGTTGTCACCGTTGTCCCCGTTGTTACCGTTGCCATCGTTGTCACTGTTGTCATCGTTGTCACCGTTGTCATTCCTGTCATCGATGTCACTTTTGTCCCCGTTGCCATCATTGTCGCTGTTGTCACTGTTGTAATGGTTGTCACTGTTGTCATGGTTGTCGCTGTTGTCTCTGTTGTCACCGGTAACTAGGCACCGTTGGCACTGTTGTCACCGTTGTCACTGTTGTCGTGTTGTCACCGTTGTCACCGTTGTCGGCGTTGTCACTGTTGTCACTTTTGTCACCGTTGTCACACTTGTCGTGGTTGTCACTGTTGTCATCGTTGTCACCGTTGTCACTCTTGTCATCGTTGTCATTGCTGTCTCCTTTGCCACCGTTGTTATTGTTGTCACTGTTTTAACCTTTGTCACCGTTGTCATTGTTGTCACTGTTGTCACCGTTGCCATCGTTGTCACCGTTGTCATCTTTGTCATCGTTGTCAGCGTTTTCACCGTTTTCATCGTTGTCACTGTTGTCACAGTTGTCAGGTTTGTCACCGTTGTCATCGTTGTCATCGTTGTCACTGTTGTCACCCTTGTCATCGTTGTCACTGTTCTCACCGTTGTCGCCGTTGTCGCTGTTGTCATTGTTGTCAGTGTTGTCACCGTTGTCATCGTTGTCACTGTTGTCACCGTTGTCACTGTTGTCATCGTTGTCACTATTGTCACCGTTGTCACAGTTTTCACAGTTGTCACGGTTGTCACCATTGTCACCGTTGTCATCGTTGTCACCTTTGTCACCGTTGTCACTGTTGTCACTGTAGTCACCGTTGTCACTGTAGTCTCGGTTGTCACCGTTGTCACTGTTTTCACCGTTGTTGCCGTTGTCAACATTGTCACTGTTTTCACCATTGTCATCGTTGTCACTTTTGCGACTGTTGTTATCGTTGTCACTGTTGGCACTGTTGTCACCATTGTCATCGTTGTCACAGTTGTCACCGTTGTCACTGTTGTCACGGTTGTCACCGTTGTCACTATTGTCACCGTTGTCATCGTTGTCACTGTGGTCACCGTTGTCACAGTTGTCATCTTTGTCATCGTTGTCAGCGTTGTTACCGTTTTCACCGTTGTCACTGTTGTCACCGTTGTCACCGTTTTCCTCGTTGTCACTGGTGTCACCGTTGTCATCGTTGTCACTGTTGTCACCGTTGTCACGGTTGTCACTGTTTTCACCGTTGTCACCGTTGTCACCGTTGTCGCTATTGTCACTGTTGTCACCATTGTCATAGTTGTCACCGTTGTCATCATTGTCACTGTGGTCACCGTTGTCACAGTTGTCATGGTTGTCACGTTTGTCACCATTGTCATCGTTGTCACTGTTGTCACCGTTGTGATCGTTGTCACTGTTGTCACGTTTGTCACCGTTTTTATGGTTGTCATGGTTGTCACTATTGTTACCGTTTTCACCGTTGTCACTGTTGTCACCGTTGTCACCGTTGTCACCGTTGTCACTGTTGTCACCGTTGTCGCCGTTGTCACCGTTGTCATTGATGTCAGTGTTGTCACCGGTGTCAGCGTTCTCATCGTTGTCACTGTTGTCACTGTTGTCACTGTTGTCACTGTTGTCACCGTTGTCATCGTTGTCACTGTTGTCACCGTTGTCAACGTTGTTACAGTTGTCACGGTTGTCACTGTTGTCACCGTTGGCAGCGTTGTCACTGTTGTCACCGTTGTCACTGATGTCACCATTGTCACCGTTGTCACAGTTGTCACTGTTATCACTGTTGTCACGTTGTCATCGTTGTCACCGTTGTCGTCTTTGTCATCGTTGTCACCGTTGTTATCGTTGTCACTGTTGTCACTGTTGTCAAGGTTGTCATCGTTGTCACTGTTGGCAACGTCGTCATCGTTGTCATCGTTTTCACCGTTGTCACTGTTGTCACCGTTGTCACAGTTGTCACAGTTGTCACGGTTGTCACCATTCTCACCGTTGTCATCGTTGTCACTGATGTCACCGTTGTCACAGTTGTCACTGTCATTACTGTTGTCACGGTTGTCATCGTTGTCACCGTTGTCGTCTTTGTCATCGTTGTCACCGTTGTTATCGTTGTCACTGTTGTCACAGTTGTCAAGCTTGTCATGGTTGTCACCGTTGTCACTGTTGTCAACGTCGTCATCGTTGTCACCATTGTCATCGTTGTCACTCTTGTCACTCCTTTCACCGTTGTCACAGTTGTCACAGTTGTCACGGTTGTCACCATTGTCACCGTCGTCACCGTTGTCACTGTTGTCACCGTTGTCGCCATTGTCAACGTTGTCATCGTTGTCACTGTTGTCAGCGTGGTCACCGTTGTCATTGATGTCACTGTTCTCACTGTTGTCACCGTTGTCATCGTTGTCATTGTTTTCACCGTTTCCACCTTTTTTATCGTTGTCACCGTTGTCATCGTTGTCACCGTTGCCATCGTTGTCATCGTTGTCACCGTTTTTACCATTGTCATCTTTGTCCCTGTTGTCACCATTGTCACCGTTGTCACTGTTGTCACCGTTGTCGCCGTTGTCAACGTTGTCACTGTTTTCACCATTCTCATCTATGTCACTCTTGCAACTGTTGTTATCGTTGTCACTGTTGGCACTGTTGTCACCATTGTCATCGTTGTCACAGTTGTCACCGTTGTCATTGTTGTCACTGTTGACACGGTTTTAAAGGTTGTCACGGTTGTCACGGTTGTTACGTTTGTCACCGTTGTCATCGTTGTCACTGTTGTCACCGGTGTCACGGTTGTCACTGTTGTCACCGTTGTCAGCGTTGTTACCGTTTTCACCGTTGTCACTGTTGTCACCGTTGTCACTGTTGTCACCGTTGTCACCGTTGTCACCTTTGTCACTTTTGTCACTGTTGTCACCGTTGTCTCAATAGTCAATGTTGTCACCGTTGTCACTGTTGTCACCGTTGTCACCGTTGTCACTGTTGTCACTGTTGTCACCGTTGTCATGGTTGTCACCGTTGTCATCACTGACACTGTTGTCACTGTTGTCACCGTTGTCACCGTTGTAAATGTTGTCATCGTTGTCATTGCTGTCACCTTTGCCACCGTTGTTATTGTTGTCACTGTTGTCACCGTTGTCATCGTTGTCACTGTTGTCACCGTTGTCACTATTGTCATCGTTGTCACTGTTGTCACCGTTGTCACTGTTGTCACTGTTGTCACCGTTGTCACTGTAGTCTCCGTTGTCACCGTTGTCACTGTTATCACCATTGTCACCGTTGTCATCGTTGTCACCTTTGTCACCGTTGTCACCGTTTTCACTGTTGTCACTGTTGTCACCGTTGTCACTGTAGTCTCCGTTGTCACCGTTGTCACTGTTATCACCGTTGTTGCCGTTGTCAACGTTGTCACTGTTTTCACCATTGTCATCGTTGTCACTTTTGCAACTGTTGTTATCGTTGTCACTGTTGGCACTGTTGTCACCATTGTCATCGTTGTCACAGTTTTCACCGTTGTCACTGTTGTCACGGTTGTCACTGTTGTCACGGTTGTCACCGTTGTCACAGTTGTCACCGTTGTCATCGTTGTCACTGTGGTCACCGTTGTCACAGTTGTCATCTTTGTCATCGTTGTCAGCGTTGTTACCGTTTTCACCGTTGTCACTGTTGTCACCGTTGTCACCGTTGTCCTCGTTGTCCCTTTTGTCACCGTTGTCGCCGTTGTCACTGTTGTCATTGATGTTAGTGTTGTCACCGTTGTCACCGTTGTCATCGTTGTGACCGTTGTCACTGTAGTCACCGTTGTCGCTGTTGTCACTGTTGCCACGGTTGTCATCGTTGTCGCTGTTGTCACTGTTGTCACCGTTGTCATTGTTGTCACCGTTGTCATCGTTGCTATCATTGTCACCGTTTTCATCGTTCTCACCGTTGTTATCTTTGTCATCGTTGTCAGCGTTCTTACCGTTTTCACCGTTGTCACTGTTTTCACCGTTGTCACCGTTGTCATCGTTGTCACTGTTGTCACCGTTGTCACTGTTGTCACCGTTGTCACTGTTGTCATCGTTGTCATCGTTGTCATCGTTGTCACTGTTGTCACCTTTGTCACAGTTTTTACAGTGTTCACGGTTTTTAGGGTTGTCAGCGTTGTCACTGTTGTACCGTTGTCAATGTTGTCACCGTTGCCACAGTTGTCACTGTTGTCAGGGTTGTCATCGTTGTCACCGTTGTCATCGTTGTCACCGTTGTTATCGTTGTCACTGTTGTCACAGTTTTCAAGCTTGTCATGGTTGTCACCGTTGTCACTGTCGTCACCTTTGTCACTATTGTCACCGTTGTCATTGTTGTCACCATTGTCATTGTTGTCACTCTTGTTACTCTTGTCACCGTTGTCACAGTTGTCACGGTTGTCACCATTGTCACCGTTGTCATCGTTGTCACCTTTGTCACCGTTGTCACCGTTGTCACCGTTGTCACTGTTGTCACCGTTGTCACTGTTGTCTCCGTTGTCACCGTTGTCACTGTTGTCACTGTTGTCAGCGTGGTCACCGTTGTTGTTGATGTCACGGTTGTCACTGTTTTCACTGTTGTCACTGTTTTCACCGTTGTCACCGTTGTCATCGTTGTCACTGTTGTCACCGTTGTTATCGTTGTCACTGTTGTCACAGTTTTCAAGCTTGTCATGGTTCTCACCGTTGTCACTGTTGTCACCGTTGTCATTTTTGTCACCGTTGTCATCGTTGTCACCATTGTCATTGTTGTCACTCTTGTTACTCTTGTCACCGTTTTCACAGTTCTCACAGTTGTCACGGTTGTCACCTTTGTCACCGTTGTCATCGTTGTCACCTTTGTCACCGTTGTCACCGTTGTCACTTTTGTCACCGTTGTCACTGTTGTCTCCGTTGTCACCGTTGTCACTGTTGTCACTGTTGTCAGCGTGGTCACCGTTGTCGTTGATGTCACGGTTGTCACTGTTTTCACTGTTGTCACCGTTTTCACCGTTGTCACCGTTGTCATCGTTGTCACTGTTGTCACCGTTGTCACTTTTGTCACTGTTGTCACCGTTGTCGTCGTTGTCACTGTGGTCACCGTTGTCACAGTTGTTATGGTTGTCACGTTTGTAACCATTGTCATCGTTGTCACTGTTGTCACCGTTGTGACCGTTGTCACTGTAGTCACCGTTGTCGCTGTTGTCACTGTTGTCACGGTTGTCATCGTTGTCACTGTTGTCACCTTTGTTAATTGTCACTGTTGTCACCGTTGTCATTGTTGTCACCGTTGTCATCGTTGGTATCATTGTCACCGTTGTCACCGTTTTCATCGTTGTCACTGTTGTCATGGTTGTCGCTGTTGTCTCTGTTGTCACCGGTAACTAGGCACCGTTGGCACTGTTGTCACCGTTGTCACTGTTGTCGTGTTGTCACCGTTGTCGGCGTTGTCACTGTTGTCACTGTTGT